TAGGCTGACTGGCAATACTGAATATCAAAATTATATATACTAATCACTATCAAAGTCAATCGCAAGTTATATAGGGCCACTATCTCTGTGAAATGAGAAACAGATCTAAATCTCCAAGTTACTCACACTCATTCTACTTTGAAGTATTTTATTGTATTATAATAAAATGATTTGTGTACTTAGTTGTTTTTATCCTTTAACAAAATATAAATTTCACGAAGGCAAAGATAATGTCAACCTTATTTAGTACTTTTTCTTCCATGGCTAGCGTAGCCTGTTGCATCTTAGATCTTCATGAAATATTTTCTGAACGAATAAAAACATGTTTTTAGGTAAACTTTCTGATTTCCTTTAGATCCACTGCCTCAATTCTTTCAGATATAGTGGAATGACTTAAAAATCTGCTAGTGGGTATACTTAAGCTGCTATGATTTTAATGTTTATTGCCTTTAAAACTCAGGTTGAAATTTAATCCCCAAAGTGGCAGTATTGAGAGTGGGGCCTTTAAGAAGTGATTGGGTCATGAGAGCTCTGTCCTCATGAATAGATTAATGCATTCACAGGTTAGTTAATTAATTAATTAATAGGTTGATGAATTAATGGGACTGGGGCTTTATAAAAAGAGAGATGTTAGCTAGCATGCTTAATCTTCTTGCCACATGGCACCCTGCACCTCCTTGATACTCTGCAGAGTCCAACCAGCAAGAATGCCCTCGTGAACTGTGGCTTTTTTACCTTGTACTTTTCAGCCCCCATAAATGTAAGAAATAAATTATTTGTCTTTATAAATTACCCAGTATGATGTTATAAGCAACAGAAAGCAGACTAAGACACAAGCCAAATTGCATGACTCATATTAAATTTCTGTTGCTATTCATGGCAACTGTTTCTGAGCCTGGCATCTTGCACAGCCCTGAAGTTTACCTCTGAGTGTTAAAAAGAATTGATCACTTGATCGTTTTTGCAAAAGACTCAAGCTGTTAGCCCAAGATTACTTTGGGGATGCCATTAGAGCCTATCAGGTGAAATAAACAAAGCTATTCATTAACATGGTTTCTTACTGATAGTTACAGCAACTCTAGGTGTACACATTAATGAGGCCGATGACCTAGTTCGTGCTATAAAGGACGCATGCCTATGAAATTTTTGTGTTTACACTAAAAAGAATGAGAATCCTACTAGATGTAGAAAAACAAAGGAATCCTTGATCCCCATTGGATGGAAGGCTCAGCAAGGCGCATAACAATCACAGTATTGAGACAACTCAAAAGTGCACATCTAATTGGTGGAATTGAGCTAAGTAGTGTCTCCTACAGAGATATTCTCCTCAGTGAGCTTCACTGATCTAATAGGGCCAACAGAAGCACAGGTGACAGCACTTTAGTGTGGGCAGAAGCTGAGTAGTCAGAGAATGCACGAGGGGAGATAGTAAAAGTTTACTTGAATAAATGTTTTTGTTTACTTCATTATTAAGTAAAATAATTACTTATTTTTCTCCTTATATGCTATAAATACTATGTGAGAGTATATCCTATATAGTTGATTCCTTTGATTTCATTTAGAGTTACACACGTTATCTTCTAAATGCATCTTATTTTCTCAAATTCTATTAAACAAATGTGGTTTAAGTTAAATAATGCAGAAGAAAATTCATGTGGTCATAAGCTGATGAGATTCCCAGTGTAAAACAAGGATATATGACTTCACCTCTTCTCCAAAACACTTACAAAATTTAAAAAAGGAAAGGAATAAAATTTATTCTGACAATGCAAAATTTTAAACTATAGGAAATAAAGAAATGTGGCAAAATGTCTGAAAATGTTCACTGACAATGTTTGAAAAAATTTTAAAATTAATATTCAAATAATGTTTTCATCAAATCTGAAATAAGATACTAAATGTGAATATACAGGGGATTCTGGAAAGATGGAGTAGAAAGGACCAGGAATCTGTCTTCCCATCTAGGCAACAATTGCACTGGCAGGCTCTGCCTGATGTAACTAATTTGGAAATCCGAAGTCTATTGAAGAATTGCAATATTCAGGGGAAGGTTGGATGATAAATTGAAGTTGATTTCAGTTAATTTCAGGTCTTAGCACAGTAGCAGCTAACCATCTCTCACTCTCAGCTCTGTGGCAGGCAGCTGTGCACTTGTTCCTGGTGCAACTTGCACACAGCTTGTGGGAGTCAGGGTGGCCATAAAGGACCCTGCCCTCAAAATATCAGGAACTATGCTCTGATTGCTGATTGCTGCTTCTGATCACAGAGGTACAGATAAAGAGACCTCCCTCGGCTAAGATGACTTCCAGATATAAAGGGATGGTATCTTTTATTCCTCTTTACTTTCTTTTTTTTCCCTCCATTAGCTGTACATGAAAGACAAGCAAAAAATTGAGAAGCACAAAAGAGAAAGACACAGGAAAATTATCAAGTCTAAGGAACAAAAAGAAAAAAATGGCTGAAGAAAAGTGAACAGAGCCTAAATAAACTGTAACACCATCAAGAAGATCAATATATGCAATGTAGAAGTTTCAGAAATGTGGCACATATACACTATGGATTACCATGCAGCCATAAAAAACAATGAGTTGTGTCCTTTGTAGGGACATGGATGAATCCGGAAACCATCATTCTCAGCAAACTGACACAAGAACAGAAAATCAAACACTGCACGTTCTCACTCATAGGCATGTGTTGAACAATGAGAACAGATGGACACAGGGAGGGTAGCATCACACACTGGGGTCTGTGGGCAGGGAGTAGGGGAGGGACAGAGAGGGGTGGGGAGGTTAGGGAGGGATAACATGGGGAGAAATGTCGGATATATATGATGGGGGGATGGAGGCAGCAAACCACACTGCCATGTATGTACATATTCAACAATCCTGCATGTTCTGCACATGTACCCCAGAACCTAAAGTGCAATTATATGTATATATATATATATATATATATACGTATACATACACACACACACACACACACACACACACACACAAAGTTTCAGAGTAAGAGAAAAGGGCAGAGGGAATACTTACAGAAATACAGGCTGAAAACCTCCCAAATTTGATGAAAGACATGGATATAAATATCCAAGCTTAAGGAACTCCAGATAAGATAAACTCAAAAACAAAAGAACAAACAAGCCATAGCAATTCACATTTCAAAAGAGAAAGAGAAAATCTTATTCGTAGCAAAAGAGAAGAAACTCATCATATTGAAGTTATCCTCAATAATAAATCCTCAATAAGATTTCTGATTAGAAACATTGGAGGCCAGAAGTTAATGGGTTGGTACATTCAAAGTCCTAAAACAACCTGTCATCCAAAATTCCTGTATCCAAGAAAAGTGTCCTTCAAATGTAACAGAGAAGTTAAATATTCCCAGAAAAACAAACCTGAGTCAATTAATTATGAGTAGACTTCTCCTGCAAGAAATGCTTAAAGGAGTCCTGTAGTGTAAAATGGAAAGACATTAGATAGTAATTTGAGGCCATATGAAGAAAAAAATCTCGATAAAAATAAATCATGTGCCGTTATAAAAGATAGTATTATCACACAAAGGTTTCTAACTCTACTTTTTGTTTTCTGCTTGATTTAAGTATTAATACACTAAAAATCAATTATTACTCTAAAAGCTAGTATATTTATAAGTTTGGTTTGCAGCTGTAAATTTAGTTTTTTATATAACTTTAAAAACTACTGCATTAAAACATCACTTTGTTTTTGGGCATATACAGTGTATAAAGCTGTAATTTTGTAATATCAACAATGAAGAGGGCATGGGGCCAGAGCTGTAAAGGGCAGCAATTTACGTGTTATTGAAGCTAAGCTGGTATGAATTCAAATTAGAGTGTTATAACTGTAGGATGTTAGATGTAATGCCCATAATAACCAAAAGAAAATAGTTGCCAAATATGCAAAAAAGGAAATGAAAAGGAAATTTAAATATTTCACCACAAAAAAATCAACAACAAATCATAAAATAATGCAGGAAATTAGGGAAAATACTGTATGGAAAATAGAAGACAAATAGAAAAGTGACAGAGGTACAGTTGACCCTTGAAAAACACGGGCTTAAACTGTTCAGCTTCACTCCATGCGGATTTTTTTTCAAAGTTACGCAAAGCGTTTCTGCCTCCCCTATCTTGTTTTCCACCTCTTCCACATCTTCTGCCTCTGCTACGCCTAAGGCAGCAAGACCACCCCCTTCTGTCTTCTCCTCAGCCTCCTCAATGTGAAGTTCATGAAGATGAAGACCTTCATGATGATCCACTTCTGTTTAAGGAATCCTAAAGATATTTTCATTTCCTTATGATTTTGTTAATAGCATTGTTTCCCTCTAGCTTACTTTATTGTTAGAATACAGTATACAACACATATAACATAGAAAATATGTGCTAATTGACTACTTATGTTACCAGTAAAGCTTCCAGTCAACACTAGGCTATTAGCAGTTAAGCTTCTGTGGAGTCAAAATTACACACAAATGTTCAACTGCATGGGGGGTTAATGCCCATAATGCCAGTATTGTTCAAAGAACAACTGTAAATCCTTTCTTATTGGGAATTACTTTAAGTTGAAATACATTTAATTCTCCAACAAAAAGACAGATTGGCAGAATGGATAAAAACACATGACCAACTATATATTGTCTAGTCAGCCACAGCAGCTCATGCCTGTAATTCCAGCACTTTGGGAGGCTGAGGTGGGTGGATCACCTGAGGTCAGGAGTTCAAGACCAGCCTAGCCAACATGGTGAAACCCGGCGTATACTAAAAATATAGAAACTAGCCAGGCATGGTGGCACACGCCTGTAATCCCAGCTACTTGGGAGGCTTAGGCATGAGACTTGCCTGAATCTGGGAGGTGAAGATTGCAGTGAGCCGAGATCACACCACGCAATCCAGCCTAGGAGCAAGACTCCATCTAAAGAGAAAACCAAAAAACACAAAACTATACATTGCCTAAAAGAGCCTCAGTTTAAATCCAAAGATACAGATTAAAAGTGAAAAGATGGGCCATGTGTGGTGGCTCATGCCTGTAATCCCAGAACTTTGGGAGGCCAAGATGGGTGGATCACCTGAGGTCTGGAGTTCGAGACCAGCCTGACCAACATGGAGAAACACCATCTCTACTAAAAATATTTAAAAAGTTAGCCAGGTGTGGTGGCATGCCTTTGTAATCCCAGCTACTCGGGAGGCTGAGGCAGGAGAATTGCTTGAACCTGGGAGGCAGAGGTTGTGGTGAGCCAAGATCATGCCATTGCACTGAAGCCTGGGCAATAAGAGTGACACTCCATCTCAAAAAAAACCCAAAAATAATAAAAGTGAAAAGATGGAAAAAGATATTCCATGCAACTGTTATGTAAAAGAGAGCAAGGGTGGCTACATTAATTAGACCAAATAGATTTTAAATTAAAATACATTACAAAAGACAAAGAAGGACATTATATATTAATAAAAATTTCAATAAAGCAAGAAGACATATAATTATAAGTATTTATACACATTACCACAGACCATTAAAATATATAAATAAAAAACTGATAGAATTGAAGGGTGGAATAGCTCTACGATACTAGCTGGAGATATCAATACCCATTGTCAATGATGCACAGAGAAACCACACCAAAGGCAAGTAAGAACATAGTGCTTCAACCACAACGAACCTACTAGATCTTACAAATGTAAGTAACAACAAGAGCACAGACAATTTTCTCAAGTGCAGCTACGACATTTTCCAGTGTAAAACAACATGTTAGTCCACAAATTAAGTTTCCCCAGATTAGAAAATATTGTTATCATGCAAAGTATCTTCTGTAACCACAATAGCATGAAGTTATACATCAATAACAGAAGAAAAACTGAAAAATTCGCAAATTTCTGGAAATTAAACACCATACTCTTAAGTAACCAGTATATCAAGAAAGAAATTACAAGAGAAATTAGAAAACAGAGAAGACTCAAAACAAAATATGACATACCAAAACTTATAGAATGTAGTAAAACAGTCCCTAACCTTCTTGGCACCAGGGATCGGTTTTGTGGCAGACAACTTTTCCATGGAATGGGGGTGACGTGGATGCTTTCAGGATGATTCAAGTGCATTACATTTATTGTGCACTTTATTCATATTAATGTTACATTGTAATATATAATGAAATAATTATACAACTCATCATAATGTAAAATCAGTGGAGCCACAGCTTGTTTTCCTGCAACTAGATGGTCCCATGTGGGGGTGATGGAAGGCACTGACAGATCATCATAAGGAGCCTGTGATCTAGATCCCTTGTATGCACAGTACAAAATAGGGTTCACACTCCTATGAGAATTGAATTCTACCAGTGATCTGACAGGAGGCAGAGCTCAGGGCATAATCCCAGTGAAGGGGAGCAGCTGTAAATGTAGATGAAGCTTTGATTGCTCACCTGCTGCTTACCTGGTCCATTGTTGGTACATACATATTTACAACTGCTACATCCTCTTGCTGAATAGGCCGCTTTATCATTACATAATGGCCTTCTTTGTCCCTTTTTGTAGTTGTTATCTAGAAATCTATTTTGTCTGATATACATAGAGCTACTCCTGCTCTTTTTGTTTCTTTCTATTTGCATGGAATATCTTTCTCCAGCCCTTTATTTTCTGTGTCTGTCTTTATAGGCTAAGTGTTTTTCCTGTAGGCAATATAATGTTGGGTCTCATTTTTAATCCATTTATTCAGACAATCTGTGTCTTCTAAGAGAAGAGATTAATCCATTAACCTTCAATGTCGTTTTTGGTAAGTAGGGACTTAACTCCTGCCATTTTGTTGTTTGTTTTCTGGGTATTTTGTGGTCTATTCTTTCCTTTTCCTTTCCTTCCTATTTCCTTTTTGTGAAGGTGTTTTTTTCTAGCAGAATGTTTTAATTTCTTGCTTTCTGTTTTTTCTTTATCTGTTGTATTTTTTTTGACTTGAAGTTATCATGAGGCTTGCAAATAACATCTTATGACCCATTATTTTAAACTAATGGCAACATAACCGTGATTGCCAAAGCAAACAAATGAACTAACAAACAAGAAGAGATAACTAATAAAAACTCTACACTTCAACTTCATCCCTCCTGTTTTTAACTGTTTGTTGTTTCCATCTATACCTTATTATATTGTCTATGTCTTCAAAGTTTTGTAGTTATTGTGTTTGATGGGTTCATCTTTTAGTCTTTTACCCAACATATGAGTAGTTTACACACCATAGTTACAGAGTTATAGTATTCTGTGTTTTTATGTGTACCTACTATTACCACTGAGTTTTGTACCTTCAGATGATTTCTTATTGCTTGTTAGTGTCCTGTTCTTTCAGACTGAAGAACTCTCTTTACCATTTCTTGTAGGAAAGTTCTGGTGTTGATGAAACCCCTCAGCTTTTGCTTGTCTCAGAAAATCTTTATTTCTCTTTCATGTTTAAATGATACTTTTTCTAGATTCTAGGATAAAACATTATTTGTTTGTTTGTTTTCCTTCGGCACTTTAAATATATCATCCACTCAGTCCGGACCTGTAAAGTTTCCCGTGAGAAGTCTACTGCCAGACACACTGGAGCACCTTTGCATGTTGATTTATTTTCTCTTGCTGCTTTTAACATCTCTTCTTTATCCTCATCCTTTGGGAGTTGAATTACTAAATGCCTTGTGGTATTCCTATTTGGATTAAACTTGCTTGGTGTGCTATGACCTTTTTGTACTTGAACACTGATATCTTTCTCTGGGTTTGGAAAGTTCTCCATTATTATTTGTTTGAATAAACTTTCTACCCGGATCTCTCTCTCTCTACTCCCTCTTTAAGGCCAATAACTCTTTGATTTCCCCCTTTTTTTTTGCTATTTTTGAGATCCTGTAGGTGTGCTTGATTTTTAAAATTGCTTTTGAATCCTCTGACTAGCCGACTATGTGTATTTTCAAATGGCCTGTCTTTAAGATTATTATTTCTTCTGCTTGATCAATTTCGCCGTTGAGAGGCTCTGATGCATTCTTCAGCATGTCAATTGCATTTTTCAGCTTCAGAATTTCCATTTTCAATCTTTTTGTTAAATTCATCTGACAGGATTCTGAATTTCTTCTCTGTCTTATCTTAAATTTCATTGAGCTTCCTCAAAACAGCTATTTTGAATTCTCTGAAAGGTCATAGGTTGGTCACAGGTACCTTATTTAGTTTGTTTGGTGAAGTCATGTTTCCTGGATGGTCCTGATGCTTGTGAATGTTCATTGATACTTGGGCACTGAAGAGTTAGGTATTCATTTCAGTCTTTACAGTCTGGGCTTCTTGGTACTCATACTTCTTGGGTAGGCTTTCCAGGTATTCAGAGGAAACTCAGTATTGCAATCTAAATCTTTGGTTACTGCAATTGTATGTGCATTAGGGGTCACTCCTCGTCTAGTAATACTGACTTTTGCAGGTTCGTAGAGGCACTGTGTGGTTGGCCTTGAGTAACATATAGGAAAATTCCCTGGATTACCAGGTAGACACTCTTGTTCTCTTGCCTTACTTTCCCTCAAACAAATGGAATCTCTCTGAGCTGATCTGCCTGGAGCTGGGCAGGGGTAACATAAGCACCCCTGTGGCCACCACCAGTGAGACCATGCTGAATCATACCTGAAGCTAGCACAGTATTGGGTCTTGCCCAAGGCCAGCACATACCACTGCCTGGCTGACACTGATGCTCACTCCAGGCCCAAGCGCTCTTCAGTCAGCAGATGGCGAATCCAGCCAGGCTTGTTTCTCTCCATTTAGGGCTGCATGCTTTTCACTGCCCTTGCTTGGTCCAGAAATGCTGTCTGGGAGCCGGGGCCTGAGGTAGGGATCTATTTGGGGCTTTATTCTAGTTCTGCTATATTGGCACCCAAGACCCAAGAAAAATGTCTTCCCATTCTTCTCCCTTCTTTCCTTATGCAGAAGGAGTTCCTCCCCATGGATCCCACCACCCTACGCCTGTGGCAAGTACTGCCTCACTACTTCTGATGTTCACTGAGGACCTAGCACTCTTTAGTTAAGTTGCGGTAAATGCTTCCAGGCCTCGTTCTGTCTCTTCATAGCAGCAGGATCTGGTGCAGGGCAGATCCAGAAATGCTGTCCAGAAGCCAAAGTCTGGGATCAGGAACCACAGGAGTCTGTGGCCCCCTATGGCCTATCCCACTGTGGCTGAGCTGGTGTCCTAGCTGGAAGACAGTTTATTTTACTCTTCCATCTACATTCCTCATGCAGAAGAAATCTCTTCAGATGGCCCCACAACTGGGAATGTGCTGGGTCACACCTGAAGCCAGCATGGCCCTGTCTGTCACCCATGGCCTGTGGTGAGCGCTGCTTGGTACCACTGAGGTTTATTCAAGATGCAGTAGCTCTTAGTCAGCACGTGATGAATCCCGCCAGGACTGGGTCCTTCCCTTCAAGGCAGTGGGATCCCTTCTGGCACAGAGTGTGTCTAAAAATATCACTCAGTTTCCCTTCCTGACACCTTACACTAAAATTAACTCCAGATGGATTAAAGACTTAAACATAAGACCTAATACCATAAAAACCCTAGAAGAAAACCTAGGCAAAACCATTCAGGACACAGGCGTAGGCAAGGACTTCATGATCAAAACACCAAAAGCATTGGCAACAAAAGCCAAAATAGACAAATGGGACCTAATCAAACTCCACAGCTTCTGCACAGCAAAAGAAACAATCATTAGAGTGAATCGGCAACCAACAGAATGGGAAAAAATTTTTGCAATCTACCCATCTGACAAAGGGCTGATATCCAGAATCTACAAAGAACTAAAACAGATTTACAAGAAAAAAACAAACAAGCCCATTCAAAAGTGGGCAAAGGACATGAACAGACACTTTACAAAAGAAGACATACATGAGGCCAACAAACATATGAAAAAATGCTCATCATCACTGGGCATCAGAGAAATGCAAATCAAAACTACATTGAGATACCACCTCATGCCAGTTAGGATGGCGATCATTAAAAAATCTGGAGACAACAGATGCTGGAGAGGATGTGGAGAAATAGGAACACTTTTACACTGT